TCTTCTGCCCATTTTTTAATTGGATTATTTGTCTTTTTGTTGTTGAGGTGTTGGAGTTTTCCATAAATTCTAGACATAAGTCCCTTGTCAGATATGTCACTGCCAAATATTTTTTCCCAATCTGTAAGTTCTCTTTTCACTTTTGGAGAAGTCTTTGGGAGCACATAAAATTTAATTTTTAGAAGGTCTCATTCATCTAGTTTCTCTTCTGCTGTTTGTGCATTTTGGGTTATGCTTGATAGTCTATTTATGCCGTAAATTAGGGCCCCTGAAATTGCCCCTAGTTTTCCCTTGAGGAATGCTAAGGTTTATCTTGATTACCCTTTACATCCTCTATCTGAGCACCTTCCCCACCATAAGCACTCAGAAGCCTCAGACAAACCTAGCTCCCTGCTCTGCTCTCTATCAATGTCCTCTCCATCAAAACTGTCTGTTCATCTTCCCACTCCCTCATGTTCCTACTTGTGGTAGTTAAGGTTGTGTGTCAACTTGGTGGGCCGGGTGAGTGGCTGGGCAGCTGGATATAGTTATTCCCCATGGTGAGATTGATAATTAACTCCATGGTGGAATCTATGGGAGCAGCTGAGTAGCTGCTTTAGGGATGTGGTCTGCTTCCCATATGTAAGAAGCAGCTTTGGGAATGGTGTCTAGCCTTTTGACGTGCTAGAACCCTGCATGTAGCCAAGTTGTTGTTCAACAGCCTACCATGCCCTGCCGATCTGGGGACTTCGTCTGGACTTGAATCAGTGGCCTGCCAAATTAGTTTGGTAACATTGGGACTGTGCCTTTTTACTTGTCAACCTTGGGCTTGTCAGCCTCAGCAGCCAGCAGCTGTCTGAGTAGAGAAAAGCCTTATAGCTCCAGTGGGCCGGGAGGAGGTAGAGCTGAAGCCCAAGGTCAAGGGGTTTTCACCCAGCCCCTAGAGCCTGGCACTTTGAACTCGGACTTAAAGCCTCCAAAACTGAATAAACTCCTGTTTGTTCAAGACAATCTATTTGTGGTATCTTCTGTTAGAACAGCACTCGGTAATCAAAACACTACTCTAGGCTGGGTGACAGCCAGCCAAATGGCTGAAAGGATTCTAGCCATCTAAAATAATTTCTGCAGAGAAAATGGGGACCAGAAAAGAGCAGAGAAAATGGGGACACAAAAAGAGATGGGTGGACAGATGATAGAAGACTGACAGACAGGACTGATATATCAATGGGTTGATCAAAAGACAAAGAGAGAGATAAAAGGTCAGATTGAAAGATGAATGAATTGATAAATTAGTAAATTGATTGAGACAGGTTGGGAGACAGAGGTAGTTGAGGCAACACATACTTAGATCTCTGCTCACTCATTAGTAGAACCCCACCATTCCATAGCCACAAATCCCAAATCCAAAAAAGCTCTGAAAACTTAGCTTTTTCATAACTCATTTGGCTATATAATCTGACATGAACCAAACTGATTTGGTGGTAAAACCTGATGTAAAACTATAATCTTTATTCATCCACCTAGTGTAAAAATTAACACGTTTTATTGCAGAAATATCAATGTATTTGCTTACAGGACGCTGTCCCAGACCCAATCAGAGCAACTGTCTAACATATACAGCCTACTTCCTTTCCAAAATGCCAAAATCCTTAATTTGGCAATACATCTGGCCCCCTAGGTTTCAGATGAGGGATTAGGCATGTCACTGACAGAACCTGCTAGGACATCTGTTTCCTACCCAGAAAGTCCTCTCCCCACATGGTTAGGTGATGAGCCAGGTTTTGTGGGGCTGAAACTTATTTAATTGGAATGGGGTGCTTTAAATAAAAAAGAAAAAATTAGGTACAGGACCCTGGAGAGGTTGGTGCAAGTGAAGGGTCCTGAAGCTTTAGCGTCCTTAGTTTCACTGTCAATATGCATCTGGGTAAGTGACTTATGCCCACTGGGTTTGTTTTCTCATTTGTAAAATGGGATGACAATGATGATATCATAAAGTTTTGCTGAAGTTATTCAGTGAGAATGCACAGACGGGTCTAGCACATAGTATGGTATAGAGCATTTGCTTAATAAGCCCAACACCACTTATTATCATTATGAGACCTGCCCCCCCACCTTCCCCATTCTTAATACCCCACCTAGTAATACCTTCACCGTGTTACACGGAAGCGTCCCTGATGGTGTGACTAGGGCAGGCAGGTATTCAGAAATAAACAAGCTTTTAAATCTACCCCTCCTGAGGTAACTAAAAACCTGCCCCAGAATCTATAAGGGGACCTCGGTCCTAAAAGCAAGTACATTCAGAACCCCCCCTCAGCCTCACTGAGTAAGCAGTGACCTCACTGAACCTTGATTTTCACCCATGAGAAACCTGTACCCTAGCCCCAGCTATGGAGAATTGTCTCTCTCTCTGCTTCACAAGTGCTGAAGGGGGAAAAAAAAAAAAAAAAATCTTAACAGAGACCAGCCACCAGCCACCATTTCTCCTCTATTTATTGCATTTCTTAAAAGAACTTCTTGTAATAAACCGAGGCTCTGGAAACGGAAAACTCATTAAGCTGTTTCTCACTCAGGGACCCAGGTGGAAGCAAGAGCACAATAAAAAAGATCAATAAGGACAAGTCCATGGAACAGAGGTGGGAACACTTCATCACAGCATCAAAGGTAACCCACAGCACACGACTCTATCACTTGGCCGCAGGTCCCACCTTGTGCCGGGGTGTTTGGCCAGTCTTTTCTATGCTGGGATTTTTTTTTTTTTTCCTTTCCCCTAGTTGGTTCTTGAAGTGAAGGAAAGTCAGAAGCACATGGCCTTGGATGGTTTTTAAATTTTAATTAAAATGGTTGGGGATTATAGGAGAAATGACATTTGGCAGGACATCGCTTGACGGGAAAGGAGTGGGGAGTCCTGGGAGCTGCTTAATAAGATGTCAGCAGAAGGAAATGGACTCACCTCACTCTATCTTTTAAATCAATAGCAGTCATTTCTCTCATCTTTATTTAAAAAAAAATTTCAGTCAGAAAATACAAAGTGATTCGACAAGATTTTCTGCAAACTAAAAAGTGTGGTGATTATTCTGTAAGAGGTCTATGCTTTTCACCCTAAACATTCTTAACCCCAAACTTCCAAATCCATCAACTCAACAAACAAGCACCTTTTAATCATAATAATGGCCAAGGACAACATTTAGAGCATTTGCTAAACTTGATCTCTTACCCACAAAACGACCATAATGTTCACCCCGCCCACCTCACCACAATGAGTGAAGACCTTGGGAACCAACATGGAAACTCACCTTGAAATTTTTAAAATGCCGAGCATCATCATGGAGCCTTTTTAGAAGCCAAGATGTCACTTGGAGGACCCAGGTGTGCCTGACTCAAGCCATGGTACTTTCAATCACCTTACGTGCATGTGAAAGCTGGACAATGAATAAGGAAGAATGTACAATGAACGAAGAAGAATGTTGAAATATACATGGACTGCCAGAAGAATGAACAGACCTGTCTTGGAGGACATAGAGCCAGAATGCTCCTTAGAAGAGAGGATGGTGAGACTTCATCTTACGCACTTGGACATGTTCTCAGGAGGGACCAGTACTTGGAGAAAGACATCATGCTGCATAAAGATGAGGGTCAGCAAAAAAGAGGAAGACCCTCAATGCAGTGGACCGACAAAGTGGCAGCAAGAGTGAGCTCAAGCATGACAATGATCATGAGGATGGTGCAGAACGAGGCAGCGTTTCATTCAGTTGTACATAGAGTCACTATGAGTTGGAAGGGAGCTCTGGTGTCATAGTACCTAAGGCACTTGACTGCTAACCAGAAGGCTGGTGGTTCAAACCCACCAGCCACTCCTCAGAAGGAAGGTTGGGCAATCTACTTCCGTAGTGATACCACCTCGGAAACCCAAGGAGGGGTCGCTAAGAGTCGGGTCTGACTCGACGGCACATAACAACAACAACATGAGTTGGAACTGACTCAGTGGCACCTAACAACAACAGGTTCTGTGCTACAGAAGCTCTTCAGGTTTTTTAATCCAGTTTCACCATTTTAGTAGTCTCACAGAGCACTATTATTATCCCCAGGTGGGAAGGCAGGAAGCTGGGGTGCAGAGAGGTTAAATGACTTGTGTGAGGTCACACAGGTGGGCCAAGGCAGAGGGAGAAGTTAACCCAGGGTCTGTTTATTCAACACTGGGCCCTATAAACGCACACTCTCCATGATATTATAATTGCCCCTCATTAAGATTTTCACCATTTTTTGCTCTTTCATCAGGATGCTCCTAGACCTGAGAAGTCAGAGTCTTTGCTTTTATCACAGGAAGTTGCTATGGAGATACTGTGTGTATCTGTCTTCAGAGATGCATCGAAAAAGCAGCAGGTGCTACAAATCTCACACACTGTCCTTCAGGAAGATTCATGATTCAGATTGAAAAGTGAGAAATCACGGAAAATGTACTCTTACAAAACTGAATCCCCTAGAAAGCCTGGGTCAAGCCTAGGCTACAGGGTGTTTGGTTAGAGGAACACTCCATCAGGAATCAAGAGACATGGCTCAGCCACTTACTCCATGTGTGCACCTAAAAAAACAACCACCACCACCAAACTCACTGCCGTCAACTCTCTCCTGACCTCAGTCCCTAACCCACATAAAACCTTTGAAAGGGATGCTTCTATCAACCCCTGGAGTCCCTGATAGTCTTCTACACAGATAGAGCTTGCCAGCGCTAAAGACAGTGTCCACAAAATCAAACAGAAGGCCCAATCAGGTCATGTAAATGAGGAAAGCAAGGCGCATATAAGATAGTCAGGAGTGGTGAGGTCTGTGGCAGCCCAGAGCATTCCTGCCCAGCTACAGGGATCTACTCTCGCTCGTTTTGCCACATTAAGAATGGGAGCCCAGAGCTTATCACTTTCAAAAGAAACCAAGGTTTTTATCTCCCAATTTTTAAAATGCTGGACAGTTAAATATGTCTCCACACAAGCCACCAGTTTGCAATCCCTATTTCTAAGAAAGTATAAGGAATCTTTCAGAGAAATCTTTCCTTTTGTGGCCAAAAAGCAGTCCCTGCTGAGGTGGGACACAACAACAAATGCAACACACTGTCATCAAGTCAGATCCGACTCATAGCGACCCCTCCTTGGGTTTCTGAGGTGGTATCACTACGGAAGTAGATTGCCCAACCTTCCTTCCGGGGACTGGCTGGTGGGTGTGAACCACCAGCCTTCTGGTTAGCAGTCAAATGCCTTAGGCACTATGCCACCAGCTGGTTAATACCACTTGTGAGTGAAATATAGAAAATAAAGAAGAACTGTTTGGAGATTTAAGCCAGTTTAGGAAGTCAGTTCAATAAAGGACAAGATGCCGAAGCTGCCTGACACATCTTGCCCCACATTTTATTTTTCTGCCAAAATCTCAATTAATCCGAAGTGTCAGAGCTTCACTTTGGATTTCCCGGCTGCGGTGGTTAATTGAATTTTAATTAATGACAATGTTAGGAGCAGCTCATGGAAGATGCACACAGCACTCCAGAAGGAAAGCTCTTCTGAGATCATCTCAGTCACCCCGCCTCGTCTTACAGCTGGGAAACTGAGGCAGAGGAGATAAACTGGATCAAGGCCACCCTGAGGCCTCCTGGCTCTTACTTCAGTGCTCACTGCATAACTCCAGGCTGACCTTGTCCCATATTCTGTCCAGCCTTCAAAAATGGCATTGACCTGCAGGGTCTGGTTCCCGGAGTCAAGAATTCCTATCATGCCAAATGAAAGAGGAAGGAGGAAACTTAACCATATATATTCCCTGCATCACACATCATCTCTCCCTAGGGTGGCAGAAGGTAGCAGGGGTTTCTGTCAGTCTGACAAGCTCTTAACCAGCAGCAATCCCAACAAAAGGGGACAACCTCATCAAGGTCCTAATTTATCAAAGGAGATGGCATGCCAACTTTTGGTATTTGCTTTTTGTCCATCACAGTCATTGTTGTAATCCACAAGCCCAGGGGAGATGTGGTTAAACTTAGTTTAAACTCTTAATTCCATAGCTTATCACATTCAGAAGCAATCTGTCATTTGTATAGATTTTTGCTGAAGATTTGAAGGATGAGGGGTGTCAAGGGGTGAGGTCACATCTTAAACGTCCCAGCCTTTCCCCCATCTCACTGGCTCCAACCCCACCTCCTCTCTCTTCTCCCCTCTTCCTCCACCCCCTCCTTCCACTGTGCAACCAAGAAATATCTCCCCTCTTCCAGTGCAGGGAAGTTCCGCCTACACTCTGGGTGATGAAAAAACTATGTCTGATCACATACAGTGGAATCCTGCTAAATACAGTCTTCTCCCCACTGTTTATTAAATGCTGCATGGCCTTCAGTCCTGTCTCTTCTCTATCCTCTTCCCTAAAATACCAAGCACCTAGTAGTTTAGTTTCATCTAAACATCTCAGTTTGCTCTCCAAAAGCTTTCAACTCGAATGTTCTCAAAATAAATAAAACTGTTTCTGTAATTGAGTGTATACTATATAGCCCAGGCCCTCTACTGAGTTCTGAACTTGGAAGCAGCTGAGGGCCTACTCTTCCCCACTGGAAACCTGGTATTTTAAACATCATACAGAATCATCAGCATAAGGTCAAGGGCATTTTCAATGCCACTGAACAAGGCATAAATTTCTTTTTTTCAAAGAAAGCCATAATTTGCTTGATGTTAGCAGGACCTGGGTTCAAATGTATGTCTGTCACTTGCTAGCTGTGTGACCTCGGACAAGTTAGGAAGCCTCTGAGACTTGGAACATGACTAGCATGAGGACATGACTCCACACAGTGCACTTGGGAGTGATACCTATCACATGTTACAACACACACAATGCACGCACACACACACACGCCTGTAACCGGTCATCTCGAACTCCAAATCTACATTGCCCTTGCACAAATTTCCCTTTAGACCTAGGTGTCTTCAGGGCGACTCTGACTCATGGTTACCTATGGGTGTCAGGGTACAAATGTGCTCCACAGGGCTGTCAGTGGCTGGTTTTCTGGAAGCCAATTAGCAGGTCTTTCTTCCAAGCCACTCTCGACAGACTTGAACCTCCAGTCTTTCAGTTAGCAGTTCAGAACCTCAGCTGTTCACACCACCCAGGGACTCTGAACGTTCTCTACCCCTTAATCCCTTCTGGGGCTGGCTGTGCAGTCCTCCCTGTGCCCACCACAAGCCTGGCTCCTCTGCTGCCCCAGAGTGCCACTCCACCAGACAAACTTGCTTCCCTCTGTCCCACACCCTAAATTTCAAGGTTAGAATCTTCTCCATCTGTGTTCTTCAGAAAATTCCCATGGAGACAGCCCTTCTTTCTTTATGGCCCAGGCATTCACTTGGTGAACAACAAGTCGTTAAGTATACTCTGAGGTCAAACCAGGATGTAGCTCAAGAAATCAGACCTATCCCCTCATCCAGTGTAATAAACTACTCCAATGACTATTCAAAGGAAAAGTCAAAAACTGTTCCAGGCCACAGTGATATCACTAGAAGATGAGTGTGGCATCCTGTCGGGACTGCTTCGGCAACCACAGCACTCACTGTGTAGAGTAAGTCCCAGCGTGTTTGCTTCAAATAGTACATATTTTCAAATAATCTCCCTTGAGATCCAGTTATGTCTCAGGGTGTCTGGAAAGAACCAAAAGGAATTCCCATTCAGAGCCAGGTGCTCCCATGTTTTCTTCCCTACTTCTTTCCTCCTTTCCTTCTACCTCTCTGATATCCCTCTTTCTCCACTCTTTACAGCAGACCAAAGAATTCCGAATTCTGATGCCACGTACCACCGCCCGCAAACTGAGCCGACAAGGCTCCATGCTCAGCCTGTCTCGGACCAGTGGGGGGTCATCCCCCCAGAGCAGCATGATCTCCATGAACCCTGGCTCAGATGAGCCCCCAAATGTGGTCACCCAGGGGCCAGGTAGCAAGGACATCGAGGACAACGAGTCCTCTTCAACCAGGCCAGATGAGGAGCCTCTTCATATCAGTAAGTCCCGCCTCTGATGTGACCATCTGCCCCAAGCCTTTGCCTGTGAGACACATCCCAAGAGCCTCTGCTGCTCACTTCCACCCCATGCACAGCTCGATTAAAGGAGACACAGGGACTCTCCAGCCCTGTTCAATTTCTTTGGACGCCCCTTTGCTCTCCTTCACTGGAGATCGGGAATATATTCTCTAATTTGGATTAACCTGAGCCATTTTTCCTAGAGACAGCCTATAGTTATCAACTGCATTTTTTAAAATTTTAATAATAGATTTTATTCAGTTCTATTTATACAAAATACTATCATTTCAACATGTACTCAATATAAAAAGTAGCAATTAAGTGTTTTACATTTTTTCCCCACACTAGTGCCTAAGGCACTTGACTGCTAACCAGAAGGCTGGTGGTTCAAAACCACCAGCCACTCCTCAGAAGGAAGGTTGGGCAATCTACTTCCGTAGTGACACTGTCTGGGAAACCCAAGGAGGGGTCGCTCTGAGTCAGGTCTGACTCCACGGCGCATAACAGTAACAACAACAAGTCTTTGAAATCTGGTATCTACTTTTTTAAACAGTTTTATTGAAGTACAATTTACATGCCATAAAATTCACTCACTTTCCATGTAAACTCAGTGACTTTTAGTTACAGAGCTGTGCAACCATCGCCCCAGTGTAACTTTAGAGCATTTGCAGTGACCCTGAAAGAACCCTCGTGGTCATGTGGAGTCACTCTCCTTTCCCACCCCCCACCCCCATCCCCCATCCCAGGCCACCACAGATCCACTTTCTCCCTCCGAGGATCTGCCTTTCTGGACATTTAATATAAGGAATTTGTATCCCTCTGTGAGGCTCATCCTGGAACAAGACTTTTCAGTGGCTGGTCACAATTTCAGTGACACAAATCCTTTAGAGGATCTGTTGAAAGCTATGGAACTTCTCTCCAAGAATAAGTACAAATATGCATTCATGACTGCTAACCAGAAGGTTGGCGGTTCAAACCTACCAGCCACTCCTCAGAAGGGAGATTGGGCAATCTACTTCCGTAGTGATACCGCCTCAGAAACCCAAGGAGGGGTCGGAGACGACTCGACAGCTCATAACAACAACAACAACATGGAAATCGACCCGAGAGAACTGTAACTAGATTCCACAGCCATGTCAGAAATTTACCTGCAGAATTCAATGGCTTGAGATTCTATAGTAAAAAAGGGGTAAGAAAACAGACTCATACTGAAGAGGATGGGGAAAGAAAAAGAAGAGAAAGACAGGGAGGTGAAGGAGGACCAGCCCACTGCCAAATCTCGGACTCTGGTGCATGGGACACCTTCTTGCCAAACCCCGACCTACTATGTCCCCTCAGCGGTGTGCAAGCTGAGACCTGCCTGCTCAGCCAATGTTCTTTCGGGCCATCTTGAATGTCTAAAGCAACTGGGCTGGGCTGGGCTTTCAGGCTGTAGTACAGACTCAAGAAGACGGAGATGGACGTCAAGGCAGTCCAGAGTCTGGAGCCCGGTGGCCAGCCTAGAATGGCACCCTGATGGGCAAAGGCAGGAGCAGACAGAAGTATGAAAATCTAGTTGGTAGTCAGGACTTAAGAGTGATTGCTGCCATTGACAGAAATACCACCCCTTCCCTTGTCAACAGGGGGCTGGGAGGCACTCCAAGCCCCGAAAAGCTGTTTGCTGAATACAGGTATTGTCTGAGATGGAGAGGAACAAGATAAAGGGTAGACATGTAAGTTACAGATTTCATTAACTTTCTTTCATTCAACAATTATTTATTGAGCACCTACTGTGTGCCTTATTGGTCTAGAATATTGGAAAATGATATGATGCTTGGTAAAGTAGAGGCTCAGATAAAAAGAGGAAGATCTTCAATGCGATGGACTGCACAGCAGCTGGGATGATGGGCTCAAGTGCGCACGGCAATGACCGTGAGGATGACACAGGACCAGGCAGTGTTTCACTCTGTTGAACATAGCGTTGCTATGAGTCAGAACAGACTCAACTGCACAACAACTGTGTGCCTGGAACTGAAATTTATAGTACCACCCCTCCCCAAGCTTATGTTTGAGAAGGAAGAGCCAGACAGACAAGAAAACCGCGAGCAAGACAACTGCTGATAGAATGTGCTCAGAAGAAAAGAAGAGTGTTGTGCTAAGGAGAATCCACTGGAGGGTGTGGGGCAAATTAAGCCGGGGTGGTCAGGGGAAGCCTCTGCTAGCTCTCATGGTTGACCTGAGACCTGAAGATATAAAGTTGAGGGGGGAGGTGGGGCGTCAGAGCACACAGGGGCGGAGTTCAGAATTATTCAAAGTGCAAAAGGAAGTCTCTGGGAGATTTTAAGTACAGGAGTGGCAGAGCTGGTTGACTTTTCAGACGGGGTCTGTGTGATTGTTACTGTCTTGCCAAACCCCGACCTACTATGTCCCCTCAGGCGTGTGCAAGCTGAGACCTGCCTGCTCAGCCAGTGTTCTTTCAAGCCATCTTAGATGTCTAAACCAACTGAGTCTTTGTGTCTTTGACCTCTGAAAGCCCTGCTCTTAAATAAGGAGAAAAAAGTGTCCCCAGTTTCAAGACAGTTCCAGATCTGGCATATGGCTATCCCCACAGCAGCCTGAGTGCTGAAGGCAGGAGGCAGCAGCCGGAAGCTGACCTTGCAGTGAGGGGAGGGGAGGAATGGTGCCATCTCTCAAGGCACAGGAGAGACCACAGACCCTTCTCCAATGGCCATCTTCCTCCCATATCAAACCATCTGCCTGCTCCTATCATGCTATCTTTTAAAATGTTTTCAGACTCTTCCCGTATTACTTTTGTGTTAGTTTAGAGACAGAAATTTGGGCCTCCTAAGCCTAAGGCACTTGACTGCTAACCAGAAGGCTGGCGGCTCAAACCCACCAGCCAATCCTTGGAAGGAAGGTTGGGCGATCTACTTCCATAGTGATACTGCCTCAGAAACCCAAGGAGGGGTCGCTATGAGTCGAGTCCGACTAGACGGCATGTAACAACAATAACAAGCCACTTACGCTTTGTTCAGAACACACACAGTTTTGCCTAAATAAATAAATAAATAAAGGTAACTTTTTAATATTGAGAGATTTCACATAAAAATTCTGATTTTCAAAAATCTCACTTTGTGGACTAACAGACCACATGAATCTCAGCCTCCATGACCCTGAGACCAGAGGAATTAGATGGTGCCCAGCTACCAGTGCGGACTGCACTGGAAGGGGTCACCATAGGAGGTTCCAGATGCAATGGGAAAAAAAAAATGGGGAACAAAATTCAAAATAATAAAAAAGGCAAAGGTTACTGGGCTGACAGAGAGTGGTAGAATCCCCCAGACCACGGACCCCAGGGAAGGAGGCACTCCTTAGAACAATAAACCATCCATGCTCAAAAGGGCATCATTGGCCCTAACACAAAGCTTAGAAGGCAGGAAGGAAGGATGAATGGGAATAGTAAACACAGGGAGGAAGTGGGAAGAGCACTGTTACATTGCAGGGATTGCAATGAATGTCATAAAACAAAATGTATAAGGACTGTTGAATGAAAACTAATTTGTTCTGTAAGCTTTCACCTTACTCACATAAAGAGTTAAAAACAAAACAAAAAAACCTCCCTTTGTAGCAACAATAAGTTTGCAATCCTGTTTGGCAACAAGCAGCTAGAACTCCTCCCTTTGGCTGGGGCCTGTGCTCTCTAGTTTTCCATAGTCCCTGCCACTCCCTATTACCCCCAAGCACTGTTCCCTATCGGCTGAGTGTGTGGCCATTGAATATCACATTTGCCCTGTTGTCTAACTTAGAATGATGATGATAATAATAATTGGTAAACCTTAGGAGGACTTCTATGTGCCAGGCACTATTCTAGCATCTTTGTGTGTATTACTCCATCTAATGCTCACCGTAACTTCTTCTGCCTAATTTGCAGATGAGAATATTGGGCCCCAGGAAGCTCAATTCCCCAAGGTCACACAGAAAGTGATGAAGCCAAAATTTGAGCCCGGGCAGTCTGACTCTCAACTCACACTTAATCTATGCTCTACCTAAGTTTTTAGAAAAAGTAAGAAATCAAAGACTGAACGGGAAGTTTGATTTTTCTGACACCAGCCCAGGTCACTCAGTTTTGGTATGTGGCCCCTCTAAAGACCTGTGTTAAGACCCCTGGTCCATATTCCCATCACTTGGCATCTAGATAGTAGCAGCAGTATCCTAATTAGTCTCCTGTCCTTGCTTATCCACTGATTTATTCTCCATGTTCAGCCAGAGAGACCTTTCAAAATTTCAAATCCAGTAAGTACTCCACCTTAACATCTGTCAATGATTCCGCCAAGGTCCAGCCAAGTTGACACACAACCTTAACTATTACACTTCCCATTGCCTTTAAGACCAAGTCTAGATATTGCATATGATCTGGTCATTGTTGTTGTTGTTGTTGTTATGTGCCATCCAGTCAGATCCGACTCATAGCGACCCCTGCTTGGGTTTCCAAGGCAGTATCAGTATGGAAGTAAATTGCCCAACCTTCCTTCTGAGGAGTGGCTGGCGGGTTTGAACCGCCAGCCTCCTGGTTAGCAGTCAAGTGCCTTAGGCACTATGCTACCAGAGCTCCCTGATCGGTCATTGGTTCAGCTTCTGCAACTTCACATCTTAAATTCAACACTCCAACCACACTCAAAAGCTTCCCCCTTCTTAGGCAATCCACATGCTTTCCTCTTTCTGCAGTGGCATTTCTTCTCTGGTCCTGTGGTGTATGAGCTCCTACTCAACCTTCAAAACCCAGCTTAAATGTTCCCTTCTCTATGAAGTCTTTCCTCACACCACTGGGCTCCTGTCTTTCCATTTTTTTACTCCTTTGTATTTGTTCTTATTGAGTATTCAGTTAGTTTACAACTGCCTCTTACTGTATCAGGAAGGAACTTCTTTTGACTCTAGGAGATGTGAAAGTAAAGGCTTAAAAAAGTTTATTTGTCTTACAGATTAAAGATGAGTATTCCAGGGCTAGTAAGGTGACTCTAAAAGATCATCAGGGATCCTACTGTCCTTCTGTCTTTGTTCTCCATCACCCTCATGGTCACTTCATGATCCAAAATGGCTGCTAGAACTCCAGTCACCACACATATTTTAGGCTAGAAGCAGAAGGAAATTGGCAAAGGACCAAAGTACCCACTCCCAGCTGAGTCTAAGCATCTGCTAAAATCTCACTGGCCAGAACTTAGTCCCAGGGACACATCTCGCTGCAAAAGATGCTGAGAAATATGTGCTGGTGAGTGCTTCTCCTCACAAAAAAGAATCAGTATCTATTCCTCAGGAAGAAGGAAAGAAGGGGTTTGAGCTCCCTGGAGGTGGGGATCAGTTAATGCCTTGGGTCTGGCAGACAGTAGGTACACAACAATGCCTAGGAGATGCATTTGCACCAGAGGTCCACCCCCTGGCAAAGAAAGTCCTCCTCAGCCCCTCCTAGCTCTTTCCCCCATTTATAATTTAACCTTCATCTCATTTGTCACAGTCTTGACAAAAGTAGATTAATTTCCCAACCTTTCATTGCCTTCTAAAACCTCCTCAAATTGATTCTGAATTCATGAATCCTATTCTGTGAGTCGTGCCATTTGACCAAGGTCTAATTTCCAGGGCTGGCTGCATAATGAAGTCTTTGTGGATGCAAATCACCAGGGACAGCAAGTTGTGGCCTCTCCAAGGACTTATCCCCTCCCCAGATCGATGGCAGGAGGAGTCCCAAGAACCTAAAGCCCAGGCCATTCCTTCTGCAGGTCTTGAAGCTCCAAATCTCAAACATCTAAAGGAGAAACGTACTTAAACAGCAATACAAAATGATGGGCCTAATACAGCCTAATGTTCCCCCTTTTAAACCAACTCCTATACAACAACACAACAAACAAACCAACGAAAACCATTTGTCAAGTCACTTCCAACTCGTGGTGACTCCACATGTGTCAGAGTAGAGCTGTGCTCTGTAGGGTTTTCAGTAACTGGTATTTTTGGAAGTAGATCTCCACACCTTTCTTCCAAGGTGCCTCTGGCTAGACTCAAATCTTTCTCAGTAAGCAACTGAGTGCATCAACATTTGCACCACCCAGGGGCTCAAGGTCTCCTTTACTGTTCCCCTAAAGAGAAGAAGAAATGGATTTAGTTGATCAAGGGTGATAGTCTTGGCTGGGTAGAGATGGAAGAAGGAACAGAGGAGGCCAGAATTTTTTTCCTCTGTGGATGCTGTTTGGCAATTGAAAGTGTGCAGTGCCAGTGTGTCTGAGCCACAATGCTGGGAACTGCGAAGTGGACAGGCTCCTCCGAATGTGGGCATGGGCATCCATGTAGGACCTTCTTCCTCAGGGCAGCTCAACTATGTGGCATCTGCACCCTCCCTTAACAAGTTTCACATCCCAAGCAGTTCTGAGAAGTAAATGAGAACGTTACCATCACAAAGTGTGTTCTATTACACACACATTCAACTTCAGCAACATGATGGGTGAAGCTTCTTATTCGTGGGAACCATTATTCCCAGAGGCATTTCTCTCAAGCACGGGTGGGAGCAGGGGTGAAATCTGTGGTGCATTATGTGAAATCTGGGGCTTTACACACAATTCTCTAGGAGAGCTGCCCAATGTGCCAGCTCACTGGAGTCATTTGCCGGTATCCACTCACCAGCAGGCCAGTTTGCATACATGTGGTGGTAGGGATAGTGGAACAATCAGATGTTGCTTTCTGGTCCCCAGGAGAAGGAAAGAATGTTGAGGAACCAGCATCATGCCCCATACCAACAGGCTTCTTAAGACACCTTTCATAACTCTGGGATGTATAGGAGTGTGAGAGTTGGGTATGACAAGTCAAATATGAACACCGTATTTGGATTAAATGGAATCATGTCCACAAATTACTAGGAAAATAAAATGCTCGAGAATCAAAGATTGGAGTGGAAAAATGCCTAAATGTTGATGTTTATCCAAACATCACTAATGTTTATGCCAAAACCACTAAGGCAGGCAACCTTTCCTTAGACCCCACTGATTGCATTCATAAACAAGGGTGCACATAAATGGCCTTGGGAAACACTGGGCTTCACACCTTCCTTCCAAACATGGATTTTGACATCTGAGCTTGGGTCAGCTCCAGCCACCTACCAAAGGGTAAAAAAGTCTCTCTACTGACAACAGCATCCTTTGTTGACACCCTAAACCTAGCTCACAGTCTCCCAAATCTTCTGTCTTTTCCTGTTAGTCATTCAGTTGTTCATTCCGTAAACACACTGAGTTTCCCGTGTGCAAGGACAGGGCTAGGTACTATCAGCAGACAGATCAATAAGATGTGGTACCTGCCCTCAAAGAGCTCACAGCCTGTAGGGGGACACAGACAAGGGAACAGGCAATCGCTGTACCATGAGATCAGGGTTGTGATGGAGGTCAGGAGTCCATAGCAAGGCACCTTAACCAGGAGTGGGAGACAGAGGAGGGGTAGAACAGTCCCAGAAGGCCAGAGGAGGAAGAAAAACGGGACAGGTGGGTACTATTATCTTTATTTTACAAATAAGGAATCAACATCTGCTACTCTTCTGACTGTTCTGAAAAAGTGTAAGCATCCTCCATTTTTCCATCAAAATTGTTGTTGTTGTTGTTGTTGTTATGTGCCGTCGAGTCAGCCCTGACTCATAGTGACCCCTCCTTGGGTTTCTGAGGCAGTATCACTATGGAAGTAGACTGACCCATCTTCCTTCCGAGGAGTGGCTGGTGGGTTTGAACTGCCAGCCTTCTGGTTAGCAGCCAAGTGCCTTAGCCACTATGCTACCAGAGCTCCCTCCATCAAAATAGAAGGGTAAAATTAAAAGTTTGTAACTCTTTAGTTGTACTCAGTGATGCCCATCATGGCATGTTTGTTCATCCTGAGAAGCAAACAGCTCTGCACTGCTAAGACTGATTTTTAAGACTCTCCCTATAAATGTTCAAATTCCAGTAACTGTCTTGGTTCCTATAATTATTTGAAACCCATCTCAAAACAAGTCTCTCTCCCCCACCTCTTACTCCCTTGTCTCCCTCCTTTACTCCTTTGGATGTCTCCAATTCTCACATGACTTCCATCCAGTTGTCTCTCTGTTTTTAAACTCCTCTCCTCACTTTGCCCCTTCTCTTTCCCAGCTCATAAATCTGGGGCCAGATTCTGAGGAATCAGTCACCAAATAATCATTGTGATGTTTCAGAACCATGGACAGCTACATGCAAGGCGATGCATGGAAATGAATGAAGGCAGTCAGGCCTTTACAAATATGTATCCTTATGATGAAACTCTCAGGATGATTCTTCAGTTATACTCCCACTCATGCTTACCCCACTGATACTCTGTTTTCCAACTTTGAGTGTTGCATACAAAGATATCTTTTACACCATATAAAATACAACATTAAGTATATAATAAAAAGCAACTAACTAATAAAATGAAGAGTATTGGGATCTGTAAGAACCAGGGAGCACATGTCTGTCTCAAATTCAGATGCAGCAGGAATAAGGGTACATGGAGCCATTCTGAGATTTTTTTCTAGGAAAGCTGGAGGTCTGAACTTTCAGGTGAAACGTTCTGGTTTTAAAAAAGTTGGCATTTATGTCAAATAAAACACATTTCTGAGTTCAGGACTATGGGGATCAGAGAGTGTTCTCTGAATGTGGTGGTTCCTTCTTGGAAATGGAAACAGTTCTCTCTGGCTACTGTAGAGTTTAAGGTGAGGCAAAGAAAGTGAGATGAAACAGGACAGAAAGAGAGAAACCAGATCCCATACAGCCTCAATGGCCTTGTGAAGTTTAAAAAAAAAAACAACTTACTACCGTCAAGTCGATCTGACTCATTGTGACCCCCTCCTTGGGTTTCCAAGGCGGTATTACTATAGGAAGATTGCCCAAACTTCCTTCCAAGGAGTGGCCAGTGGGTTTGAACTGCCAGCCTTCTGTTTAGCAGTCAAATGCCTTAGGCATTATGCCACCAAAGCTCTCATGAAGGAGTTTAGACTTTGCCAAAAAGAAAACGGAGCTTCACTGAAGAGTTTTAAGCAGGGAGTGTCGTGGTCAGGTTACAACCTGCCCACCATGATGAACCCTCTTTAACCCTCTCTGACTCCCTGACACTCAACCCCAAAGTCTTGCTCCAAAGCACCTCAAGATGGTGACCCCTCATGTTCCCATCAGATCTGCAGAAGCTCCTGGAGATGGTTCGAGAAGATGCCCGGAGGACGGTCATCATGGAAAGTGAGACTCAAAAAAAAGTGTCCAGGTATGTTGTTCTCCTGACTCTTGGGGCAAACAAAATATCAGAAAATACTGAGAACAGTAACAACAGAAGTTTCCTGTCACGAAACATTTTCTCTCTGTACTTGGTTCATGTGTTGCAGTCTTACAACAAACCTATGAGGGGGAGGTACTGTTATCTTTATTTTACAAATAAGGAAATGAGGCTCAGGGAGCTTAAGTCACTAGTTCAAGGTCACTTAGCTCGTGAGTGGTAAAGGCACAGCTCGAATCCAGGTCTTTCTAACTCCAAAAGCCCTTTTTATAACTCTCTGCTACGCTGGCTCCCACGATCCTGAGGCTACTCAGGCATTCTCTTTATGAATATTTATGGACTTTATATTAATTATTCTCAGGGAAAGTGTTATGAAAGGATAACCTCTAAGAGTCGATAACAGAGGTGTCTGAACAAGTCTGGAGAAGACAGGGGATCAGAGAAGGTTCCCCTAAGGAAGAAATTTTAAGCTGAGATTTGGATGAAGCAAGAGAAAGAGCCAGTCAAAGTTGGGGGGCGGGGAGGGGTGGAGGAAGCAGGCAACCTATGTGTGCACATGGTCAAAAGGAATGATCGCACCTTCAAGGAACCTAAATGAAACCATAATGGGATGGAAAGGGCATCATTGGTCTGGGAGCCTTGGAGGCCAGTGCAGGGATTCTGGTTTTTACCTTAGAGCAATTAGAAGTCTCAGAAATTTCAAGCCAGCAAACAATGTGACTGGCTCGTAAAGAGGTGTCATTAGATCTGAACCCGAGGCATCTTCCTTCTGGTGGAAATCCTTAGCCACCAGACTTCTAATGTCTAAGCACCTTGGAGAGCACACAGGCTTGAGCCAGAGTTCCTTTCCCAAGGGTGGCTTCCCTGTGAGTGAGGAAATTACTTCCTGAAAATAAATGAGGCACTGGAAAAGGTTCATCATCGCCTTCAGCCTACCAGGATGCCGGCTGTGACTTATTGGTTATTGTTATTACCGTAATTACAGTTCACCAAGCATTTTCACACGCTTCACACCTGCTTCTGCTCGTTAATGATGGATTTGTCTGTGGCTGCCTCAAGCCACATCGAGGCTCTAGGGTGGTACTTGAAGATGATGTCGGCCCATAAGGCTCCAGTTGCTATGCCTGATTTAACAGCATTAAAGACAGACCATGCTGATAAAATATGGCTCAATGAGGCGTCTTCATCTGTAAGAATTAACAGGCATGAGCACTGGTGTTGAACTCAGGCTGACCTGGGTCCAAACCTGACATCCTTGGAAAAGTCACTTAACCTTTCCCCAGTTCTCAGTCTTCTCATGTATAAATTGAAACCGGGCAACAGTCAAAGCATTGGCTTTGGAATCTAAAAGACTAGAGTCCATGTCCATTTCCATCATGTGCTTGCTGTGAGACATTGGGCAAGTTGCTTTACCTCTCTGAATCTACTTCTATAAAATGAGAATCATTAACAATCTACCACAAAGGGTTGTAGTGAGAATTAACTGAGATTATCCTTGTATTGTTGTTAGGGAAATGATGTCTATAGCAATGAGTCATTTTAAGCATTTAGCAAAATGATGTGTGTAGCATACTTAGTATGTGCCAAGCACATAGTAAGCACTCAATAAATGGCAGTGTTGGGGCGGGGCAGAGCTGGGGGCTGGGTGGCCACTCCTGTTATTTCACACACAGGGTCCCAGGGCATCTTTGCAGCACCCTGCCAAGACAAGTATACTAACCATCACCAGCATCCCATCTCACAGATGCTGAAGATCTGCAGTGAGTTATTTGCTTAAGGTCTTCAAAGACAAAGCCACACCAGAACCCAGTCTTTAGAAGACTCATCACGCAGCCTCTGCCTTCACTCTAATGAGAAAATACCCATGGTTACAGAGCAAGAACCTGTTGGTATCTCTAAGCCTCATGAACTCCACCAGGAGAGAAAAATCTCCCTAATCTCTCACTAAGGCAGCAGAGATTGAAGGCTTCAGTGTGGAGCTAGCTGCAGAGGCGGTCAGGGAAATCTGTGGACTCTCTTACTCCTCATTTTGGAATCTGGATTCTTCTCTCATTTCAGACACCAGATCTGCTCCCATCAAAGCGGACGTAGAATCCTGGCGTTTTCAGGAACCCCTAGAAATCAACCTGGTGGTGTAGTGTCTAAAGCAGTTGACTGCTAACTAGAAGGTTGGTGGTTCAAACCCACCAGCCAATCCACAGAAGGAAGACTGGGCAACCTACTTCTGTAAAGATTTACCACCTCGGAAACCCAAACGGGGTCTCTATGAGTCAGAATCGACTGGATAGCAGTGAGTTTGGTTTTGGCTTGAGAACCAGCCAGTTTTTCTCCCAGCCTCAAGGCCAGACTGACCCCTAGGTGTCGAAGGAGGTAGCTTTTTCTTTTGTTAAAACCCTCTAGCAGTGTTTCCCAAATGTCCCCCAAGATTAGAATCCCAAGGGTACTTATTCAAAAATTCTAGACCTCATTCTAGATCCACTCAATCTGAACCTGCAGAAGAAGGTGCATTTCTTTACAAGCACGTCAAGTGAGCGCTATCTCAGAGAGCACAGGGAAATTCTAGGTTCCTCAAAATGTGCTCCCAGAAGCACCTGCATCAGAAGTGTGTGTGTGTGTGAGGGAGGGAGGGAGGGGGTTTAAATTCAAATCCTGGGGCCCTGCTCCAGGCCTAATGAAGCCAAGTGTCTGGGAATGGAGCCCAGGAATCTGTATAATTATCAAACTCTGCAAGTGACTCTCTCACCGGGTGGGGTCTAAGGATCATGGCTCAGGAGGGGACTTCTCCCACCAACATTTTCTGCCTTGGAGAACCATGTATTCTGTTCCTGGTTAAGAGCTTCCTCTTGTTTTGCAGTATCTTGCCAATGATGAAACAAAACAAGAGCGAGTCTGCATTTAAGGACGTGCAGACCATCCACAAATCCAGGTAGGAGAGCCAGCGCCTGCAGCAGCTGGGCCGGGAGGCACCCACAGGTACAAAGGCCACAGCAGAGATGGCCCTCAGACAGTGCAAAGTGGGGCAAGAGGAAGGGGACCTCTCCCTTCTCCCTGTGCTGTCACTGCAAACAAGTGCTGTAACTTCTGGGGACCGGGGTTGGGTATGCAGACATTTCTCCCCAGCAATCATACACCATGAAGTTAAGTGTTTCAGTGCCAGAGGAATAGGGGACGGAGGGTATGGTGTAGGTTACTCCTTTATTTGGGTGATGTATAACGGGAGGAGGTGGTCATCTGCCCCAATGCATAAATTCATATGGAAAATATTCATTGGTTCTTCACTACGTGCCAGGAACTGTGCTGGGCCTTAGGGATCCCTGGCCAACAAGACAAACGCAGTCGGCCCCCATGCATCTCACAGGCTGGGCTGGCCTAGGAACCATTTTTGTGCCATGGACCCATTGGCAGTCTTAGGAAGCCTTTCCAAAAAATGTTTTTAAATGCATGCTATAAAATACAAGAAGATGCTGGGTGGTGAAATGATTAACATGCTCAACGGCTAACCAAAAGGTTGGCAGTTCAAGAACACCCAGCATCACCTTGGAAGGAAGGTCCGGGGATCTCTTTCCAGAAAGTCAGCCAGTGAGAACCCCAGGAGCACAGTTCTACCCTGACACCCACGAGGTCACCACTAGGCTGAACCAACCCAAGAGCAACTGGCTGGGGTATTATGTATATAAAATACAAATAAGTCTATAGTAATACGGATGACTGTACTACCCATCTTGTGATACAGTCATCTATATGCTTCGTTATTAATGCCTTATAAAATAAGACTTAACAGAAAGTCTAATAACTACCATAACTTTAGATTAGTTTGTATATAAATGAGTTTTCAAAAATAAACTCCCACAGCTGGAATGTAACATGCAAATACTTGTGATTTCCATTTTGGTTAACAGTTAGTTAAAAGAAAAATGCAACTTTTTCTTCCCAATCTACTCTTGATGTCTGCCCATGGACACCAGGTTAAGAATCACTGGTCAAGGAGAGAGTCAAACATCTATCGAATAAGCTCACAGTTTGCCACGAAATCATGATTGTGAACAGTGTTCTGAAGGATAACTGGGTGAACCTTTAACACCAGGGTTCTGACCGAGGCTGAGTTTGACATTTAAGCTGAGACCTGAAGAGTGAAGAAGAATTAGCTAACCTCTGAAGTTGGAACAGTGCTCTAAGTGGAAGGAACAGCATGTGCAAAGAGCTGGTGTACAGAGGAAACTTAGAAGCACTGAGGAATGACCAGTGCGGCTGGAACTCAAGGAGGGTCAAGGCAAGGAGAAAGTGAGGCAAGAAAATGGTCTCTTACTGTTTGTTTTTGTCTGCCTGTCTGTTACCAGCTAATAAAGTCACTTCTCTCACCCACCCCTGTCAACCCACTCTCCAAGTCACTGCCAAAGTTCTAGGAAAGAAGGAACTATCTTCAGGGGAGAGAGATCATAGCCAATACACACCTCAAAGGATTCAGCTGGAGGGAGGGGGATCAGCTGGTTAGAATCCAGCAGCCTTACTGGTGTCTGGCATCCCACCCAGGTGGGATAAGGGCTTGCTTAAAGCCCACCAGGTGTAAGATCTCTAGTCTCAGTTCCAGGAGTTTCCAGGAGAAGCAGCAAAGGCCAGGACCTTTCCTATGAGGAGGGGTCTGAGAAGTGACTGAGTCTACCAGCTAAAGAAGTCTCAAATGCCAAAGCTAGAGGGGGAGGATTGGCCACACATCACAGGAATCAGAAAAGCCACCTTACTTTCTAGAACCATGCAGACAAAGATCAAGTCCATTTTCCAAGCATTCAGAGGAACCAAGGGGAAAGAGAGGACAGGAGAGAAGGTTCTAGACACTGGTACCAAAGGCCCAGATAACCAAAGGAGGATCTGGGAGAAAGTTATAGGTGAGGGATGAGTACTAAGCAGGGGGCTTCATTCCCACCCCCCAGGAACCCTGGCAGGCAAAGTCACAGAGGAAACAGTCATTGTAAAAACCCAATCAGTCCACACCTCGTAAGGCTCAGATGCCATGATGAATTGATTGACGTCTGTCTCCCGTCATGAGACCCCAGTGCATATAAAGGCTGGGAGCAAGACTGATTAATCCATCATTTTATCTCCAGCACCCACTACAGTACAGGTGCTCAATAACTCAAGGTTGAATAAATGGAGAAATGAATGTTGTATAAATGGACCAGTAATTTACACTGCACTTCGAGACCTATTTCTTGTAGGCTTTTTATGTCTTAGAAGTTTCCTCCTAAACATTCTTCTTCCATCCCCACCTAAACAGCATCCAACATATTTTTTCTCCCATGAGAGAAGGAATACGGTTCCTACTGTCTACTGAGCCTCTGCTAGATGCCAAGTACTTGTACTGGGAGTTTTATCTAATTTAATCCACGTGCTGTGGTGTAGGTACTGGAAAATAAGGATCCAAAGGGGAGGTGTTTGCCCATGGACTGAGACATGGTGGAGCCTGGGCTGAGCACTGAACCCAACTCTGCCTGCCACCAAAGTAGGGTGAAAGAGATGTTTGGCTCAAGAGTTGAAGTTAGAAAAGAAAGGCCTTGAACAAAGAGGCAGTCTGGGGTCAGGGGCACCAAAGGCAAACTGACTAGGAAGACTCAGCCATCCCTTCAGCAAACATGGGCTGGGTCTTGTGTTAAGTGTTAAATGGGATTTGAGAGGAGTATGGAAGGGTTCAAAATGAACTTACCCTCTGTGGAGAGATTGGGACTCTCATACACTGCTGGTGGGACTGTCAAATGATACTACCACTGTGGAAAGCAGTATGGCGATTCCTTAAAAAGCTGGAATTAGAAATAACCATTTGACCCAGCAATCCTATTACTAGGTATATATATCCTAAAAAAGTGAGAGCCAGGACAAGAACAGACATGTGCACACCCATGTTCATCCAGCACTATTTATAATAGCAAAAAGATAGAAACAACCTAGGTGTCCATCAACAGAAGAATGGATAACCAAACAATGGTACATACACACAATGGAATACTATGCAACCCTAAAGAACAATGCAGAATCTGCAAAACACTGCATAACATGGATGAACTTGGAGGACATTACACTGAGTAAAATAAGTTGATCACAGAAGGACAAATATGGTATTAGTTCATTGTTGTAAAAAGTCAAGGAAAGGTTTACATATGGAAGGAAACTTTCTTTGTTGGTTACCAGGGGTAGGAGGGGAGGGGATGGAACACTGCCAAAAAAAAAAAAAAAAATGTATTGGCCTATGTCACTTTAGTTTTGTGTATTTCACTACACATGAATTATATTTCAATAAAATGTATTTTTTTTAAGAATGAACTTATCCTTTCCATATGTAAATACCAATTTTATGCAAATAAAGCCAAGATCCAGAAAATGTATAACCCTGACAATATGCAAAGCCAGATGGTAGAAGTTGGACTACAATAGTTTGAGTAGGCAGGACGTGCTGTGCACCACGCAACATGGTAGGATTTCAGCAGATGGGGAGAAAATAAGGAAAACTCTCCAGGCATGGGGTATGGCAGAAGCAAAGGCCAAAAGACAGGAAAAAACACAGTAGGTTCTGAGACTTGTATGTTGATTAGAACTACCTACTTTACATGAACCCTGAAGGCTAGTGGGTGTAATGGGGTAAAGGGGAAATGCAGGAGGCACCCTTTGCATGAAAGAAGATGCCAATCTGACATCATCCCTTTGTGTTTCAGTGACAAAACCACGAGTTCAAGTGGAGATAGTCACATCCAGGCAATGCAGAAGAAGGCTAGAGGGTAAGTCAGGCGGGTGATGAAAGGAGACGGGCAAGGAACAGCCCAATGCAGTCCACACTTCCTGAGCCACAGACACTGCTGACAGGCAAGGGACACTTGGGCTGGGGCTCCCAGCCAAGACACTGAGTAACAATCCAAACAACGACAAGGAACACCTCCTTTGTGCCAGGCCCTGGGTGCAGCATTCTGCACTCACTGTCTAGTTTAATCCACAGAAACCACCTTTAGCCAGTGGGGCCATGATCCCATTTTACAGAGCAACAAATGGAAACTCAGCAAACTGTAGTGTCTTGCCTGAGGCTACACAGAGCTGGAATTAAACCTCAATCTCCCAGCTCCATTTTTGTCTCTCTGTCCTTAGCGAGACATACCACTGTGGGATCATTTAATAAGGTCTGATGCTGCTGGCAAGATCTACCCTTCATCCATCCAGGCGGGTACTGAGAGAGGCTCTAGGCTGTAGGTGAAGGGAGGGAGAGACCCAATCCCCAATGCAGACCACCGTGGGGCCCAGGGAGGCTGAAGTGGGACCCATGAGGCTAGCTCATGGGTGTCCCTTGGACTCCATTCTCCATGCTTTTCTTGTCTCTGTCTACAGCCGCCCAACCCGTGATATTGTCCATTGCAAGACTGGTGTATGTGGCGCCTTGAGGGCCAAGTTCTACAGCGTGGCTCAGGAGGCCGGCTTCTGTCTCCAGGACAAGATGGAAATCCTCATGAAGTAAGGGCACACATATCCATTCATTCAAAAGACACTTACCAGGCACCTACTAGGTGCCAGGTGCTGGGGCTACAGCAAGAAACAAGAAAACCATATTACCTGCCCTTGTGGAGGTTACAGACTCCTATCAAAGATGGAAAGAAACAAAACCACTGTATCAGTAAATATACAGGCATGACTACAATCACTGTCATGCAAGAACAGAACAGCATCTACTGAGAGACAGAGGGACAGAGAAGCTATGGGAGCCCAGTTGAGGTGAGGTGATCTGGGAAAGCCTCTCTGAAGAGATGACTTTAGGCTGAGTCCTGCTGCATCAAGTAGAGCTGGTTGTGTGGTGAGAAGCTAGAAGAACATTCCAAACAGCAGGAAAGATGCATACAAAGCTTCAAGGTGGAAAGGCATATGTTGTTGTTGTTGTTGTTAGGTATCATCCAGTCAGTGCTGAATCACAGCAACTCTGTGCACAACAGAACAAAACACTGCCCAGTCCTGCCCCATCGCCACAGTGGTTGCCATGGTGAGCCCATCATCATAGCCACTGTGTCAATCCATCTTATCGAGGGTCTTCCCTTTTTTTTTTTCTTGACTCTCTACTTTATCAAACATGATATCCTTCTCCAAAATAGGTCCCTCCTGACAACATGACCACAGTATGAGAGACGAACTCTGCCATTCTTGCTTCTAAGCAGTACCGCAGCTGTCCTTCCTCCGAGACAGATGTGTTTGTTCTTCTTGCAGTCCGTGGGACATTCGATACTCTTTGTCAACACCACAACTCAAATGCATCAATTCTCCTGCAGTCTTCATTGTCCGCTCTCATATGCATGTGAAGCTGCTGAAAATACCATGGCTTGGTCAGGCACACTTTAGTCTTCAAAATGACATCTTTGAAGGGACACAGATAATTTAAAGAGCAGGGAGAGGGGCAGGTGAGAGCCACATTGTGCACAGATGTGTCATGAGGGTTTGAAACTTCAAGAGCACCAGACGCCACTGAAAGCCTGCTTTTCTATTCTCGCAACCCAGTCTATTCCTTGACTGTAGTAACTGGCCACCCCAAAGAATGCACACATTCCATGAAGGTGGCATGACACTTTGTCCTCTTGTCCTTTTAGCATGATGGACCACCTGCTCTGGGACAGGGGTTCAGACATGACTCATGTAGGCCCCTGCCCTCCAGAAGCTCCCAGCCTAGTGAGGGAAACAGAGGAGTAAACCAGCTACGACACAGCATGATGCAGGCTGGCATAGGAGTAAGCAGACTGGGCTAAGGGAATACAGAAAAGGAATGCTCTGCCTTACCCAGGACAGCAATCAGGAAGAGCAGAGGGGTCTTCCTGGAGGAGGTGACATTTGCAGTTGGGTAAAAGTAGATGATGCTTCGAAGGTGCTTATTATATACAAGGAACAGGTCCAAGGGCTTTGTGTTTATTTAGTCATTTTACGTAACTCCTCACAGCAATTCTATGGGATAGGTGCTATTACTATCCCCATTTTATGTTGTTTTTGTTGTTGTTATGTGCTGTCGAGTTGGACCCGACTCATAGCGACCCCTCCTTGGCTTTCCAAGGCAGTATCACTACTGAAGTAGATTGCCCAACCTTCCTTCCAAGGAATGGCTCGTGGGTTTGAACCTCCAGCCTTCTGGTTAGCAGTCAAATGCCTTAGGCACTATGCTACCAGAGCTCCCTCCCCATTTTATAGATGAGAAAAGTAGAGTTCAGCAATGTCTCTACACAGTACTAGTGTTGGAAAAGTAGGAAGGGAGGGAGGACCAAGGAAAAGCCAAAGCCAGTCCCAGAGCCCAGTGGGACACAACAGGCTGAGCAACTGCCAAGAGTAAGGTGTGGTTGGGGCTTAGGGTGCCTTTAAGGTGGTCAGAGAACAGGCTAAGGCCAGATCATTAAAGGTCTTAGTAGCCCAGGTGTGGAGGATGAACTTTATCTCAGAGCCTCTGGTCACAGCCAAAGCAAAGAACACTGCAAGAGAAAGGAAAGAGAGATGGAGAGAAATGAAATTGGAGAAAGTTGTAGGGGGCAAGTAACTCAGAGCCTTGGAGGGAAAGTTACTCAGAGGACTTTATTCTGAGGAAAATGGGGAGCCACTAACAATTGTAGGCAGGGGAATGACTTGGTTGTACTTGTAATATTAGATCTCCTTGAAGAAAGAGGATACACACACAAAATGAAAGAGGAGTTGGGAAGAGAGGGCGCCAGCATTAATTACACACCTACTGTGTGTCTGGCACTGTGCTCAGTCCTTTACATACCTTATCTCATTTAACACTCACCTCTGACAGGTAGGAAGCATTATCATTCCCATTTCACAGATGAGAAAGATGTAAATACAAGTAGGAAGGGAATGAAGAGTAATAAAAAGTGACTGGGTTTAGCAGGGGCATCCCTGGGTCTCCAAATGGTTAAGCACTTGACTGCAGCCACAAGGTTGATGGTTCAAACCCACTCAGAGGGGCCTCAAAAGAAATGCCTGGTGATCTTCTCCTAAAAGGTCAACAGCCTTGGAAACCCCAAGGACTGCAGTTCCACTCTGGAGGGCTGTGCCCCAGATTACAGTGGTGGGGGGCTGAGAAAGGCCCTGTGAAGGAAAAGGGATCCAATTCAGACCTCAGAGGGCAGCTAGGATGGTTAAAGGAGGAGGGAGTCTCATTCTTGCTCCTCTTTTTCATACACCCTGTGATGCAGGCACCAAGAAGAGAGAGTACTCCAGAAGTTCAAGTCTTTTTCCCTTGTCTCCACTTTTCAAAAGGATATAGCAAAAATGAGGCATCAAGTCTCCACGATAAAAGGAGATGCAAAAGAAATTGCAGACCACTGGTAACGATTCTAAATGCCAGATAAGATGGCCCCTGGTGGTGGATGGTGGTGGTGGGAGGAGTTTTACCGATTACAATCGATGCCATTGTCCTTTAAGCCTGAGAGGCATCACCCCAAAAAAGTCCTTGGCCACAACAGAGTACCCCAAAGAGGTTAAATCCAGAGCACAGGGTCTCTGGTGGTGTGAAGCCTAAGGTATTTGACTGCTAACCAGAGGGTTGGCAGTTCAAACCCACCAGTGGCTCCATGAAAGGAAGATGGGCAGTCTACTTTTATAAAAAGATTTACCACCTTGGAAACCCAATGGGGGTTGCTGTGAGTCAGAACCAACTCAGTGGCAATGTTGTCAGGTGCCACTGAGTCAGCTCTGACTCATAGTGACCTTCCATACAAACGAATGAAACACTGCCCAGTCCTGTGCCAGCCTCACAGTCCCTGCTCACTTGAGCCCACTGTTGCAGCCACTTGACCCACTGTGTCCGTCCATCTCGTTGAGGCCCTTCCTTTTTCACCGACCCTCTATTTTACCAAATATGACATCCTTCTCCAGAGAATGGCCCTTCTGACAACATGGCCAAAGGAGGTGAGAAAAAGTCTGGCCATTCTCGCTTCTAAGGAGCATTCTGGCTGCATTTTGTTTGTTTGTTTGTTTGTTTGTTTATAGTTAGGCAAAAACTCCTCCGTTCCGGAACCACAGATAATACAACCAGCTGTGTTCTCCACACTGACCTTCTGTTTGATTCTGGCTTGCAAATAAGAACTAAACTGTGAGCCCTCATGGGAGAGGTGGGTGAGCAAACCTATCCTCCAATGTCTAGAATCTGAGGTCTACAGGGTAGTTATTATGTTCTCCCAATAACATGATCTCTCATGGATACAAAATTAGGCCGGCATATCCTGCTGGCCCAGCATGGGGATGTAATAACAAAAGCACCATGAAGTAGTGACACAGCACGAGAGATGCCACCACCACAAGGACCTCTCATCAACTACTTTATTCTTCACAGAAATCCTTTACCCTCACTTTACAAACAGGGAAACCAAGGCTCAGAGAGGTGAACAGGCATGTCCAAGGCCACATCGCTACGAGTGCTGAATTCAGGATTTAAACCCGTCTGATCTCTGTCTGTATGCTCTCCCACAATACAGAATTAGAATCTGATGAACTGTGAGCTCATAAACTTGATCCTGATCAAGATTTGAGAACAGTTAAAACTGTCTAAAACTGTGCCCAGAATCTCTTCCATGATTTTAATCATCTGGAACTGGTGGCCTAAGGCACTTGACTGCTAACCAGAAGGCTGGTGGTCCAAACCCACCAGCCACTCCTCGAAAGGAAGACAGGGCAATCTACTTCCATAGAAATACTAACTCAGAAACCCAAGGAGGGGTTGCTATGAGTTGAATCGACTTGACGGCAGTGAGTTTGGTTTTGAGTTTTGGTACCTTACCAGCAGGTACTTGGTACCTTGACCTTGCACACTGCCTCGTACCCCCAGGACATCACTTTCTCACCCAACAACACCTAGCCCTAATGATTTTCTGCAGCCCTTTCCCCTCTTTGGGGGTGGGGGGAGGGAGAGTAGAAAAGGGAGAAGTTACAAACGAACTCACATCATGGTATTAATGCTGGCCCTCCCAGTCAGATTCGGCCAAATCTCTTAACGGTGAAATTTCTGCCATCATTATGGGGTGGGAATTGTCCATTATAGCAACATTACAGTCAAACCAAAGAGGCCGTTCCTTTAAAAGTTGAACCAGGGTTCACTGTCTTTCATACAGTATTTACTGAGCACCTACTATGAGTTAGGCAGAGTTCTAGCACACTGGATGCTGAATAACTCGAACAGCATCCCTGTTCTCATGGAGTTTTCATTCTAAACAGGAAGACATAAATAAATACACACACACACACACACATATATAAACAAATATAAAGCAGCATAAGTAGCCCAAAAGATATGACAGATAATCAGTTTCTTCTTCAAAATTTTCCACAATGGGCACATATATGTTGTTGTTGTTTGTTGTTATGTGCCGTCGAGTTGGACCCGACTCATAGCGACCCCTCCTTGGGTTTCCGAGGCAGTATCACTACAGAAGTAGATTGCCCCATCTTCCTTCCTAGGAGCAGCTGGTGGGTTTGAACCACCAGCCTTCTGGTTAGCAGTCAAGTGCCTTAGGCACTATGCTACCATGTTAAGGAGGTGAAAAACACTTAAAAGAGATGCCATCCCCCACCTTAAACCCTGCTCACACTTGAACCACAGTCCCAGGTTAAAATCTCCCTGTTCCTACCATCTCACTCTCTGTCCTAACAGTCTAAACAATCCTTAGCACCCACCACAAAGTGGTGCAGCCAAGGCCCACCAGCTGTCAGGGAGCTGGAAAGCACACACATATCCTTTATCATCACCATGTTCCATGTGAGCCCATCTTGCCTCTTAGAAGGCATGCCGTGGACATGTCCACATCCTCCCTGGCTTAACAAGCTCTCAGAAGAGAAGCTTCAGAATCGCAATGTCCCTTCCATTCTCCGAATTTTTCATGTCTGTAGCTGATAGAAAAGTGATAAATGAATCTCTTCAAGGCATGCCCTGAATCTGCTGTTTTTAAAATGAGAAGCGAGTCATGCTCCAGCTTTTACTGCCCCCGAAAGATGCAGACTTGTCGGATCTGTGGGCCCTTTGCAATTAGGAGGGTGGAAGTCACCCGGTAAGACTCCGCTACCCTGGAGACAGTGTATGAAAGAGAGGGTGGGCTGGAACACCTGCCGGGCCGAACCCACCTCCCAGCAGCTTCCTAATGGGCCCTCTCCTCTTGGAATTGAAGGTACTTTGATCTGCTGTCCAAACTCCCAGAGGATCTGAAGAACTTCCGCCCTGCCAAAAAGATCCTGGCAAAACTACAGAAGTTTGGGGAGAACCTGGATTTGAGGATCCGGCCCCACGTCCTCCTAAAGGTGCTGCAGGACCTGAGGGTCTGGGAGCTCTGCTCCCCTGACATCGCTGTGGCTATTGAGGTAACTGTCCCTCCTCTTCGCGATGCCTGGGGCACCACCATTCAACCATTCTCTCAACATCCACCGTTCAGGCTCTGGTGACACAGAGACAAGTAGGCTCCAAGGCCACTGCCTTCATGCAGCTCATATTCTAGTAGGAGAGGGGTTGTTGCATCATCTTGATTACTCAGTGTCAACCACATGCCGCTGAGTCAAGGCCAACCCCATGTGTGTCGGAGCAGAACTATGTTCCATAGGGTCTTCAGCGGCTGTTTTTTCACAAAGAGATCACCAGACCTTTCTTCCAAGGCACCTCTGGGGTAGACTCAAAACCTCTAACCTTCAGGTTAGCATCCAAGCACAATAACCATGTGCAACACCCAGGGACTCCTGTCAACCCCAGGGGATGTGAAGTTCTGTATAAGTGGTACCCCCAGAGGTTCTGTGGAGATAGACCAAACATACATAAATGGACAAGTGAATAAGGCATCACCTATCTTCATAAGGATCTCTGGTGGTCCAGAGGTTAAGTGTTTGACTGTTAACCAAAAGGTCAGTGGTTCGAACCCACCAGTGGATTCTTGAGAAAAAGATGTGGCAGTCTGCTTCTCTAAAAGATTTATAGCCTTTGAAACCCTATGGACAGTTCTACTCTGTCCTTTAGGGTCACCATGAGTCAGAAGTGGCTCAACAGCAATGGGTTTGGTTTGCTTTTCTATATTAATAAGGAATGCTCTAACCCTTACTACTAAAAGTGTGGTCCACAGACCAACAGGTGGACCTCACCCAGGTGCTTGTTAGAAATGCAGACTCTCAGGCCCCAAACCCTGTCTACTAACTCAGAATCAATTTTAATGACAGTCCAGGTGCTTTCTATGCACAATCAAGTTTGAGGAGCACTGGTTTTAAAGGATCAGAGAGGGGACCTACCACAACTAGGACTACTGCAGAAGGTGACTTTTAAACCGAGACCTGAACGACAAGAAGGGAAAAGAGAAGGGCAGGGCAGAATACGACTTGTCAGAGGGGCTCAGAGGCAGTCAGTGCATGTGGAAGACAGAGAGCAAGGCGGTGTGGGCTGCCAAGGGGGCTGGAGAGGGCGCCAGGTCAAGGTGTGCAGACTGTGAAGGCCGGGATAAGGACTGGGGTCTGAGGAGCCACTGAACCATTTTCCACAGCTCACCATCACCACCGACTCCAGAAGTTCTCTGTCGTTAGCTGCCACTGAGTTCGCCTTGCTCGTGGCCAACAGAAATGGGGACGCTGCCCTGTCCAGTGTCCTCTTCACAATCACTAGGACATTTGAGTCTGTGGTTATGGCTACTGTGCCAATCCCTCGCATGGCACATTCTCCTCATTTTCATTGGCCCTCTGTGTCACCAAACATGATGTCCTTTTCTAGCATCTTTCTTGATCATGTGCCTAAAGTCAAGCATCAAAAGATATCAGCAGATAGGTGGAAAGAAGGACTCCACACTAAGGTATTAACAGTTGCTAATGTGGTCACTTTCTGATTTTTCTCAGATGACAAATGTGCATTTTAATAGGGCCTTCAATGCTGCATCTTAAAAATGACATGAATGGTGGGATTCTAAGGCCGTGACAGGCTACAAGTCCTCTTGGTGTTTCCATGCCAAGTTGGCCCTTCTACAGGCTGACCTGAATGTATGTGGGGGTGGGGGTGCAAGGCGTGTGTGGAGGGAGACCCAGTGGACAGGGGAAATGCTCAGACTCCACTTCCCACTCCCTGTGAGGCTCTTTCAGGAAAGACTCGGACAGACTAGTCCAAAACTAACTCCAGGGCAACCATCTACCCTGTACCTGCCAGTGATGGAGTCTACCTTCCATGTGTTAGTTAGGGGTCCATCCTCTTCCAACCAATTATAAGGGACACAGAGGGTGCTCTTCCTGAATGGGTGAGGGGATGGGGCCGTGGACAATCTGAGGTGAGTCCATAGCCCAGAATATAGCATGTTCTTCTCACCAATGAGAACATTACAGAATTTCTGATAACCTAGATGGTGGGTGGTCTCTTAATGTAGACTCTATAGTGTGTGTGTCTTTACACATTTCCAGGAGCAAATCTATTGTTGATATTAAGTCCTGAAGAGGTCTGTGAACCAAAAAATCTTAAGGAAAAAAAATGACCCTTTTTTTTAAAAAAAAACAACAGATATTAAGGAGCAGAAAAGAAAGAGAAATTCAGGCAGCTGGATTTTCCTGCCTTCTGCAAATTTTGTTGGGTCGATAGTAACAAGACAGGGCTTAAAATGTGCCTGGCTGAGCCAGGAAGCTAGAATGGAGTGATGTTCCAGGCTAGAATGGTTGGAGGGATACTGGGGCCACCAGCATCAGTCACAAAGCTTCTGGGATTTGGGGGAGGGGAGAGTCTTAATTTTCAGCCCAAATTCTGAGGCCACCACCGTTGTATCTGCCCTGCAGTTTGTACGTGAGCACATCATCCACATGCCTCAAGAGGATTATGTGAGCTGGCTGCAGAACCGCATCAGCATCCCGCTCCAGCTGCAGAGTGCTCCTGCATAGGCGGACCCTAGGTTGACCAGCCCTCCTGAAGGAGGAGGGGGAGGGGGAGGAGGAGGGGGAGGAAGGTTAGTCTACATCATGTCCTACTTGTGTTCCTGCTTACTGCTGGCAACTGTGGACAACTCATGATGACACAGCAGGATCAGCTGGCAAATGACATCTAATAACATCCTAGAGGGAGATACTCCCAGGAGACCCAACCTCTCTTGGTGGTCCAGCCTGACTCTTCCCACTCTTCCTCTGGTTTTCTTGACCCTATTCCTCGTCCCAGAATTTTGGATAATAAAATTGAATTGAGTTTCTGCTGTTTGACTTAGTGAGCTGGAGCCGTGGAATCTGGGTGTGGCATTCAGATCCTAATAATAACAGTTACCATTTATTAAGCTTCCGTTATGCATTATTATTTCCTTAGTTTTTACTTTCATTATTATTACTGTCATTATTCAGTCCCATGCTGGGTGCTCTGGCTGCAGAGTTTCATTTAATTCCGACAGTAACTTGGTTAAGTAGTGCTCATGCTATCCCCATTTCACACCTTTGGCGTTAGAGTGAGCTTCTTAACATTGGATGGACAGGTGGGTGAGTGGATGGCTGGTCGAGTCGTGGTACACAAGTGGCTGGGAGGGGATGAATGGACAATACATGGATGTTTGGATGGATGGATCAATGAATGGATGATACTTGGATGGATGGATGGATGGATGGATGGATGACTGAATGGGCATTCTCCAAAAAGACAAAAGGTATGCAAGAAAAATCCCCTACTTAAGAAGTCTCATGTGTTTTCAGAAGGTCTTGGTTGCACAGGAAGAATGTTTTTCTGTTCTTTCAAATATATTAAGACTTTTTAACCCTTTTTTTGCCTTCCAGGTCTTGTACTCATCTATATTCTCACTAAAGTTATGACAGACATTTCCCTTCTCTCAGAGACAGCCAAGTAGAATTGACAACTGAACGAATGGACGTAATGTGCTGTCATGCTCAGATTATCAGAGCACTCATGAAGTCTGGGCCTCTGACAACTCTCCATGTCAATGGTGGGGGGGGAGTGTGAATTGGAACTATTAGTCAGTCTAAGCAACATCAACATCTCATCCACCCATTCTCCTATCTAGTCATTCACTCATTTATTCAGTGAGTATTTACTGAGAGTCCAGTATGAACCAACAATTTTGTACATGCTGGGTGTACAGAAGTGAACAAAGTAGACAAGTTCTCTGCCCTCACAGAATTTACATGGAATCAGACAAGTCAAAAAAAAAAAAAAACATAATGGGAGGGTGCAGGGATTACATAACATCACACATCACTCTGTGTAGACATCCTTCATTTAACATGATACCTTGACAAGCCATTTGGGGTGTAAAGGTGAGATACAGTTTATAAGGAGACTTCAAAATTCAGAGACCCTCAACTTCTCCATTGTAGATAGGAATCTGGGTGAGGGGGAACAGGGAAGGAAGGAAGACTAAAGGAGAAAGGAAGGGAGCTGAGGAACATGACAATGAGACACAACCTCGGGAGAAAACCACACAGGGAAAAGTTCCTGGCACAAGGATGCTTGAAGGATCTCTAAGAACTATGATGTAAACCAACCACCACACACACTTCACCTTGGACCTTTAGTAACTTCTACCATACTTCCAAGGAGCCCTGGTGGTGCAGTGATTAAAGCGCTTGACTGCTTTAGGTCAACAGTTCCAACCCTTCATCTGCTCTGCAAGATAAAGACGTGGAAACTTGCTTCTATAAAGCTTGCCAGCCTTGGAAATTCCACAAGGCAGTTCTGCCCTATCCTCCGGGTCTCTGTGAGTCTGAATCAGCTCACCAGCAGAGGGTACCACACATCCAAGTGTCCTCGCTGAGTAACGCTTTGAAGAAATAAGGCTAATGCTTTGTTCTACATCTGGATCTACTTGAGGGCAAAGAAAGGGCTTTAGGGACTCAGAAATGGAATACAACAAGGAGTATAGCTGTTGTTCTTGTTATGTGCCGTCGAGCCAGACCTGACTCATAGTCACCCCTCCTTAGGTTTCCAAGGTGATATCACTACGGAAGTAGATTGCCCAGAAATCACAGCTAGAAGAGACTACTAGAACATGTGTTCTCTAGGTTTACAGAAACCTTGAATGGGATGGAAAGTCAGCCAAATTGAAATATATCTTAAATGCCAGGTGATCATCACAGCTGACATTTAATTACATTTGGGAATCAGTCAATGTCAATGATACACGTGGACCTCACCAGATGGAATACACAGAAAATAAACTGACTACATCTGTGCAATCAGTCAGAACAAGGCCAGGGGCCGAATGAGGAACAGACCATCAATTGTTTGTATGCAAGTCTAAGTTGAAGCTTGAAGAAAACTGAGTCCACAAGACCCAAAACACAACCACGAGTATATCCTACCTGAATTTAGAGACCATCTCAAGAATAAATTTGAAGCACTGAACACTTATGACCAAAGACAAGAGAATTTTAGGATAACATCAAGGACATCGTGAAGAAAGCAAAAGGTCACTAAAAAGACAGGAAGGAAAGAGAAGACCAAACTGGATGTCAGAAGAGACTCTCTAACTTGCTCCTGAAGCAAATGGAAGAAATGATGAAGTAAAAGAGCTGAACAGAAGATTTCAAAAGATGGATCGATAAGACAAAGCAAAGTATTACAATGAGATGTGCAAAGACCTGGAGTTAGAAAACCAAAAGGGAAAAACATGCTTCAAGCTCAAAGAACTGAAGAGGGGTAAAAAAAAGTCAAGCCTCAAGTTGCTATATGGGCAAACTATTAAACTAACAGGGGGCATCAAAAGAAGAGAAAAGGACTACACAGAGTCATTGTGCCAAGAAGAACTGGTTGACATTCAGCCATTTCAGAAGGCAGCACATGCTCGAAAAAAATCAATGGTACTGAAAGAAGGAGTCCAAGCTGCACTGAAAGTACTGTTTTTAATTTGTAAGCTTCCAGAAATTGGCAGAATACCAAATGAAATGTTTCAACAAACAGATGCAATGCTGGAAGTGCTCATCTGTCTACACCAAGAAATTTGGAAGACAACCCGCAGCCCACCAACTGGAAGAGATCCATATTCATGCCATTCCAAAGAAAGGTGATCCAACAGAATATGGAAATTATCAACCAATACCATTAATATCAAACACAAGTACAATTTTACTGAAAGTAATTCAAAAATGGTTGCAGCAATGCATCAACAGGGAACTGTCAGAAATCCAAACTGGACAGAGAAGAGGAAACACCAGAACGGTGTTTACCTAGGTTTTACTGGCTGTGCCAAGACATCTGACTGTGTGATTCATAACAAATTATGGGTAACATGACCAAAAGCAGGAATGCCAGGATACTTAATGATGCTCATGTGTAACTGTACATAGACTAAGAGTCAGATGTTCAAAGAGAAGATGGGAAATTTTCAGGTTTAAAATCAGGAAAGGTGTATGTCAGGGTTGTATACTTTCACCATACTTACTCAATCTGTATACCGAGAAAATAATCCAGAAAGCTGGACTAGATGAAGAAGAAAGTGGCATCACGATTGGAGAAAGTCTCATTAACAACCCGTGATACGCAGATGACACAACCTCGCTTGCTAAAGTGAAGAGGACTTGAAGTGCTTACTGATGAAGAGCAAAGACTATATATAGCCTTCAGTATGGACTTTACCCCAACATGAAGAAAACGAAAATCCTCACAACAGGACCAACAATAACATCTTGATAAACAGAGAAAATATTGAAGTTGTGAAGGAGTTCATTTTACTTGGATCCACAACCAACACCCAAGGAAGGAACAGTCAGGAAGTCATATAACATATTGCATTGAGCAAATCTGCTGCGAAGGACCTCTTTGAAGTGTTCAAAAGCAAAGATGTCACTTTCAGAACTCAGGTGCACCCACCCCATGCCATGGTATTTCAATCACCTCATATGCATGTAAAAGCTGGACAATGAATCAGGAAGACCGAAGAAGAATCGATACATTTGAATTACGGTGCTGGCAAAGAATATTAAATATACCATGGACTTGCAGAAGAATGAACAAATCTGGGAAGAAGAACAGGCGGAATGTTCCTTAGAAGAGAGGATAGTGAGACTTTATCTCATGTACTTCAGACGCATTCTCACTAGGGACCAGTCTCTAGAGAAGGACATCATGCTTGATTGAGTAGAGAGTCAGCAAAGAAAGAGGAAGACCCTCAACAAGATGGATTGACACAGTGGCTGCAAGAATGGGCTCAACCAAGGCAATGATTGTGAAGACAGAGCAGGGCCAGGCAGTGTTCCGTTCTGTTGTACATGGGTCACTATGAGTCAGAACTGACTTGACAGCCCGTAACACAACAGAGAACCAGTGCAATGGTGGCAGATTAAAAGCAAGCACAAGAAGATGACATAGGGCATGGGGGTGGGGAAAGAGGTGTTAACGCACACTTTGGATGTCAGAAAAGGCTTTCCAAGAAAGCGATGATATCTGTATGATGAGTGGCCTTAGCCAGGGAAAGAAGAGCAGGGAGGTAGGTAAATAGAGGGAAGAATGTTCCAGGGAGGCGGAACAGCAAGTGCAAAGGCCAAAAGGCAAAGGGGAACCTGATGTCGTGTGAGGAGCTAAAATGAGTCTGGCAGTACTGTAAGACCAGATTGGCAGGACAGGGAATGGCAAGGAGGCTGGAGAGGGAGGTGGAAGTCAGATTCTTAGATGAGTTATAAAGCCGACTGTCATTGAGTTGATTCTTATTCATAGCAACCGTTCAGGACAGAGTAGAAATTCCTCCATAGGGTTCCCAAGGCTGTAAATCTTCACGGAAGCACACTGCCTCATCTTTCTCCTGCAGCATGGCTGGTGGGTTTGATCTGGCAACCTTTTCATTACCAGCCCAATGCTTTTAGCACTACACCACCAGAGCTCTTTTTAGATGCATTACAGGCCTTGTTATAAAGTTTGGACTTTATTTTAATGGCAATTCGGAGCCATGGAAGGA